AGGGGACACAAACAGCCAATCACCTCCTCGTCTCAAAGGAAAATCATGCTGGCTTCTCATTGGATGAGATTTGAAAGGAGGGAGGCTAGGTGGAGGCGCAGGGATAAGGCATGATATCGCCAGGTGATATCACCATGGCAATCAGGGCCAGGCGTGTACGTAAACACACTTACAATGGAGACAATAAAGGAGGAAGGCTTTTATGGAAACACACACAAGCACACACACACACACACACACACACACACACACACACACACACACACACACACACACACACACACACACATATGCATGCTTCCCCTTGAGACTGAAGCCAGAGGTTGAATTGTTGACTACATTATGCACTCGCCTCGCCCTCTCTCCACCATCACATTGTTATTTCCTGGCAGTTTTAAGGATTTACGGTAGAAGAGACACACTGTGAGGAAGTGGTAATGAAAAAAAAGGAATACATGTCTTGCAGTACAGAGGAAGAGACTGAAAGTTGCACCACAGGTAGTAAACCACAGTCAAAAAGCAGAGATCATGTTTCAATTGCTGCGCTATCGCTTCAGTTGATGGCCATGATAAAACCGCTAATATGTTTTTGCGTGTTTTGTTGTAAGCATGCACTTCCCTCCATATGCATGTCCACTTCCTCCTCAATCACCCGGAGGGAGGCCCGGTGATAAACGCGCAGTAATCTCTGACAAAGCAAACAAGATTACACCAAAACCTCATCACCCACCATATGGCCTAACACCTGACTAGAGGGCAGGCATGCTTCTTAAAGGTGTGCACATGTGTGTGTGTGTATGCACGTGTGTGGATTAGTAGGAGTGTGTGCTCGTCAACTACTGTAAAGCACGGTCGAGTAACACATACAGATTTGAAAACAGAAAACTGCTAATCAGGTAGGAGGACAAATGCCTCTCTTCAAGCATAAACCTAGATTACAGTGTCATATGATACGTTAGCTCAGTCACATGCAAGGAGGTGGGAGCTGCGGTGTATGTGTGACCTTTGTGGAGACATACTTACATGTGAAATAATAAATGCAGAACATGTTCTCTTAACCAAAATGTCAGAAAAATATCATGGATTATAAGTATTAAAAGTAAAAGACGAATAACAGAGACATTAGTGAGACTAAAGCTTATGTAGAACCTCCGCTTTCCAGGTATGTGCATGCATGTGTGTGTGTGGTTGCTATTTTCTGCTCTTCACTAATCTCTTCTGCAGCCTAATTAGACTCGTCTGTTTCAGAGAGAAAAGTCACGCCAATCAAAAGAGCCAACGCGGAGGCATGGGTTGAAAAGTGCATGTTTGAAAAATGTGAGAAAAAGAATGTAATGACAGAAATTCACATTCTTTTATATACAAAGTCTACCCCTAAACAAAAGAAAAAAAATGGCACCTTGTGATTTATTTCCTGTGCTCTCTTGGACCGCAGTTCTAAAAGAGTCACTTCCTCCGAAAAGCCGCAAGCGTCTGATCACAGTTTTCTTTTCTTTTTTATTGACTTCTGAACAGTTCCAAGTGTGTTTGCTTGAAGTCTAACAATGTTCGAAGGTTCTATTTATGTCTTATTATAAGAGGCATCCAAAGGCAATGTGCACTGAAACAAAAACCTTGTATTACCAAACAAAGTATTCACTGTGTTCTTGTTACATCTCTTGATTATATCCATCCAAGACCTTCCCATTACGTCATCCCAACCAGAGACAAACACTACACAAACCCACTATTGTCTATCAACATGGCTTGTTGAACAAAAAAAAGCTAAGAAAAAAAAAACAGGATAAAAATAACGGTGTAGAAAATCGATTTCAGAAATGTCTTTATGCAAAATCACCATCATTAGGATAACTAATTCAAGTCAGAGTAGTGATGATATTTTGTGTTATGCAAGGATGCTAGTAATAAATAATTCTCTCTACATCAGAGCCTCTTTTTTTTTTCGGCAGCCACCTGACCCCTTAAGTGTTTCTTATGAAATATTTGTGGTGCAGCATCAGCACCTCAGATCACTTTCCCCTGCATTTGACAGCGACCAGAAAGAAATACAGAGATGCAGACAAAGACTGGACACCGGAATTGTTCCGGCACAAAATGTACACGTCTCTACTGTGTAAATGTTTGCATCAAATATTAGAAATGTTTTACCTTTGCCCGTGACACAGCTTAAATCCAGAGAAAAGCTAACAGCTTACATCCCTCTCTGTCATAAAGCAGAAGTATTCTTGCAGGCGCTGTAACAGATCAAAGGGGGTTTTAAACCATCTTTGTGCTGTTTTGTCAACCCCTGACGCTGTTTTCTTTTCCATTTCCTCAACAGTCTAACTGTCTGTTAAGGAAGCCCTGAACCTGAAACCATGCACCACAAAATAAATGTAACCTTAGTTATTATGGGAAGCTCTCTACTCATACTATTCATGAAGTTTTCATGAGGAATCCCAAGGGTTTCACCTGATTGACAGCATGCACTGATTTAGGTACACTCAAGGTCTGCTCTTGAGAATTTATGACTGAGGTGGAAACTGAGTGACGTTCAACTGTCCTCTTAAATCATTTCTCAGATAAGCCATGGAAAGGCCAATCTCATTAATCTTAACACCAGCAGTGCCATTGAGTGACAACAGAACCACTTCAAACGCACACAATGGAATCCTATAAATCATCAAATAGACCAATAGTAGAGATGCTTGAATACTGTTAATAGAGCTGCATAATGAATAAGGGTATGAGCATGCACAATAAACATATGGAAACCTTAGTTCAACCATTTGTGTCATGGATTTACACCCTTACATGCAAACGATTGTCCTATCAAATGTTGCAATGGATGTGTGGGCCATGCATTCATACCATTTGGCCAATCAGATGAAGCCCCTAGCTCCGTTTCACAGACACAATTTGGTTGCAAAGGTGAGGTTCGCTTGCACCTTTGCTTGGGAAAGAGAGAAGAGGAAAATGTCGTTCGTAATAGGGCACGACCGATATGAGATTTTCTGGGCTGATATCGATATTGGGGAGGGAAAAAAAATACTGATACTGATATATCGGCTGATATCTTTCTAAAATCTATGAAATCTAAAATCTCCACACAGTGGAGTGATAATGCTTGTTGTAATCCATACAACACACTCTGTTGTGAAAGAGAACTGCTATTGTAAAACAATGAAACTTAAATGAAATGCTTTTTGACTGGTAAATAAATCTAATATCAGCACATGTCAGAGATAAAATTAGTTGTTACAGATAGTTGCTGGATAAACTGATATCGACTGGCCGATGAATCGGTCAGGCTCTAATTTATAAGGACCTATTGTTGAAAAAGAACTTGACTTCCTCATATTTTGAGTTATTTGGAGATGGTGTTACAAACACAGGTACAGTGTGTACATGCTCAACAGCAGAACGACACAGGAACTGCAAAGCTACTATGCAAACGCTATCATTTGTTTATTTAGCACGTTATATCTGCCATCATTGAACAATGTTAACGCACAGTATGTTTTTCCTCATATTGTGCAGGCCTAACAAAAAACAAGCAACTTGTTTCCTCTTATTGCTCTCATACACAGACAGTATTTTAGAGCAGCAACAAACAACAGAGTGCTTCTAGGAAAGAGTGTAACATTGGTCAGAGCTAGCAGCATTTCACAACCAGTGTGTAGAAATGTTCATTTAAGATAATAAAAGTTGGTTAAAGTAGTTATGGTGATACTTTTTTTTTTAAAACTAGTAATGGTGAGGTACTTGGTATTAGACTGGTCAAGGTTAACTCAAGTCTAGGTTTGTGAATTAGTATCAAGAGGACCAAATGGTACTGAGACATTTAATTATGAAAGTACTTAAAAAAAAACTCCAGATGTAGACTTTAAAATCTGGTGTTATTTGCAAGTAAACAAAAATGATGTCACAACTCTCTACAACATGATATTCTGTCATTACTAACAACACAATGGAGTTGATCACTCACCATCTATAGGTTTTCGACACAAATGATTGTTATGTGGCATTGCACTTTATCTGCAGTGATGTACAGACCTACATAACGTGCATGCTTTAAAACATTTTAAAGTCACATATGGAATTTACTTATTGACAGTAAGTCCGAGCGTTAAACTAAGAGAGATCGTGTAGAGTCACTTTGTTGTGTCAGTCTCCAGCTCAGTGTATTTGTTCCCAAAGCAGCAGTGTTTACTGTTGACCCACAACCACCAGCAGCATCTTAGTAAATCTGGTTTAGCAAATAGCAAATGATGGCAAAGTTTCAAGGCCTCAGTGTGGCGACTCTAATGTGTTGAATTATCCTATAAAACATCTTAAGATTGACTGCAGCAGGTTATAGACATCCTTGAATAAAAAAAAAAAGAAACATGAAGGACAGTGTGACGTCAGAACAATGACTTCCCTGATCCATTGTCTGCCACACGTAATTACTGAGGCTGAAGGAATTACAAGAAGTCGCATACATAAAGCTATAACAATGCCACAATGAAGTCGAAATGTTGTAGTCCACTTTTGTTAAGTGTAAGGCATGCCCTTGTTCCCATTAACACTCACCATGCAGAAACAATGTGTTCAGGGTGACTCAAAATCAATTTAAGTGTTTCTATGTCTCTGAAAGAACAGTGGTTTTGGGTTCACTGAGCATCAGATTTCTAAGAGGCGCTCTTGTAAATTAGCCCAAGTAATGTTTGACATGTGGAGGACAATTTCATAGTTTCCAACTTCTCCCTCATCAAAGAATGATTTTAGACGAGAGGAATTACTCATCAAACCTTACCTATTGGCTACATGGTGTTAATGGATACCCTAATTAATGTCATGTTAAAAAAAAAGAAGCTGCCTGCCACGCTCCAGCCTTGTAAGGATGTGGCCCCGTGTCTTGCACCATTGTACAACCTAATTGGTCGATGGGTGATGAATGCAATGCCGCATTTTCTAGCGTAGTAAACGAGCAGGAGAGTCGGCTGTTTGCAGGCAGAGGAGATGATCAAGACACCCACCTTTAGATTCGCAGTCAGCGCAGAATTTATTCTCTTCCAGTGCCAGTAAAGAGTTGAGGACAGTCTGGTATCTGTCAACGTCTTTCACAGATTTCCCCGTCATCATCGCACCGGTCCACCTCCTCCACAGACCCCCCCAAACAGTCCGAGCCGGCTATTTGTCAAATAGCCTCTAATGCGAAGTAACACACAGCGTGCAGCGCGATGTGCTCCGTTCCTCTTCCTCCTTGGATGGACAGCAGAGCGAGTTTGTTTCACAGCGATGGGGTGATTGCCTTCCTGCCAACCATACGGGTTATTAGAGATGCAAATACACTAGTCAACAAAAAAAAAAAAAAATCACAATGACACTGATAAGATACAATTGTAATTTAAACATACATCTGAAACCTATCTCTGATTGGTACTGACTCCAGCAGCTCTCAGACAGCTCCCTCTCTCTCCTCTCTCTCTCTCTCTCTCTCCTCTCTCTCTCTCTCTCTCTCTCTCTCCTCCTCTCTCTCTGTCTCTCTCTCTCTCTCTCCTCTCTCTCTCCCTCTCTCTCCCCTCTCTCTCTCCCTCCCTCTCTCTCTCTCCTCTCTCTCTCTCTCTCTCCCCCTCTCTCTCTCTCCCTCCCTCTCTCTCTCTCCCTCTCTCTCCCTCTCTCTCCCCTCTCTCTCTCTCTCTCCCTTCTCTCTCTCGCTAAAATACTCACATGTGCGCGCGCACACAAACATCCTTAAACACGCACACTTACATTTACATGTTAAGAAAAAACAAAAGTATTATCAGATTTAAAAGTAACACTATTTAAAGTGTGTTTCTCGATTTGTAAAGAGAGTATCTGGTATTGTGACTTATCTTACTATCAATTCATTTCATAGACTGTAGGCCTTTAAGAAAACGAAACTACGCATACCGCCACCATGTGGTCAACCATGAGAAGATACCAGAAGGACAGTCTCACGCTGTCCCCCTCCAAAACGCGAGACGGCGATAAAACAACGTGCAAAGAGGAAAACAGCCGAGAAAAGTTGAGACGGATGCCTAAACGTGAAGGTAGATAGGCTTATACCGGAATCACCATTTAGTTCCCTTCAAAGTAAAGTGTTTAATATGTTTCTGCTTTAAAAATACATTTCGTATGCAAGAAAGGGAAATCAACAATAAGGTAAATTTATTCATGTTAGTAGTATTTCTCTCGCACGTTGTTTACCGTGGTTCTCTGTGTTTTATATTATTAAGGAATATTTCACGATCAATCTTTTAATTTACACGATAACCGGAAGTGACGCTTTGAATCTAGCTGGCTTGACGTATACGGAAGTGCGTGACTGAACTGGCGATTACGGAAATATCTGCTCAACCAGAATAAAATAAATAAAGGATTAATATCTGCGTCGCCACCTGTGTAATCCTGTAACACTGTCCACAATGTCCAGGCAATCCAACCGAACGACAGACAGCAAGAAGATGGTAGGCGACTCCCGCAGGATTAATGACAGTCAAACATAGCTACACCAGCTAGCACAATGCTAATGCCGAACAGCTAACAATTCAACTTGCGACCTTATTTTTCTGTGAACTAGACTGCATGTCACTTCTTTCTGTGTGTCTCATGAGCGTTGCTAGATGTATGAAAAGCATTTCAACCAGTGTAATGTGGCCTTATTCAATACTTACGGCCTTGTAAACAAGTGCAGACAGTCGTAGCCTCCAAGCTAAATATCTAGCATCCTCAGTGCAACATTATCCCCTCTTTACATCCCAGATAACTTAAAACACTTTACATCCCAGATAACTTAAAACACTTTACATCTCAGATAACTTAAAACACTTTACATCTCAGATAACTTAAAACACTTTACATCCCAGATAACTTAAAACACTTTACATCCCAGATAACTTAAAACACTTTACATCCCAGATAACTTAAAACACTTTACATCACAGATAACTTAAAACACTTTACATCCCAGATAACTTAAAACACTTTACATCCCAGATAACTTAAAACACTTTACATCACAGATAACTTAAAACACTTTACATCCCAGATAACTTAAAACACTTTCCATCCCAGATAACTTAAAACACTTTACATCCCAGATAACTTAAAACACTTTACATCTCAGATAACTTAAAACACTTTACATCACAGATAACTTAAAACACTTTACATCCCAGATAACTTAAAACACTTTACATCTCAGAGAACTTAAAACACCTTAAATAAAAAAAATGATGCGATTACAGAAAACATTGCCAAACGAAAAGTTACATAAATCAACATAGCTACTGACCGAATTGCTCTGTAATACAAGATAACAGGAACACAGCCGAAACACCACCAAGTTCATTAAAACATCATTTATAAATCATGACTATCAATCGTGACTGTCAGAAAATATTTTCAATATATAAGTGAATAGTATACAAAGTGTAAGAAGTAAAGTTTTATAACAAACCTGCACTTAAACTGCTTACTTTAATTCACATTCGAATAAATAAAAACACTTTATTTGTCCCCGGGGGGGCAATTCAAAGGCACACAGAGCAGTAAATTAACAACAGTGCAAGTAGACGAAACATTTTAACCTAAATATAAAGTGTCAATTTAAATACAACTTAAAGCTTAAACTTAACTTAAAAATACTAAATATAAAAAGAGTAGATATAAGTGGACAGTAATCAGACTAACAGATGTAAACAGATGTAACCAGAACTATGTGCAGTAAACGAGAAATAAATATATATATACAGAGCTATGTGCAGGTAGGCTAAAGACTAAATACTAAATGATAAGTTATAAGGTGCATGGTGAATAATGGAACAACAGAACTAATATATAAGTATATATAACTTTAAAGGTAAAAATTAGATAAATAAAGTGACCGTAGTGCAATGATGGATAAGAAACAACAGGAATAAAGTAACCAGAACTGTATAAATACTGATATAGGAGGATAGAATAAAGTGATGTAGTGCATGAGACCAGATAAAGCGGGTTTAGACTTTCCTTTTTAGAACCATGAGCAGTCCATAGCATGGACCGTCAGACTTCCTGTAGCCTGTGATGGTGTTTATAATAATAAGCATAGGAGAGGCACCTACTTCTTAAAAAGTGTGGATCATGATGGTAACATTTTACTGGATCATGATGGTAACATTTTACTGCCAAGATCCCATCTGTTTTTTTGTTAATTATTGGAGGTGACTTGAGTCATTGAGATTATGGAAAGAATCAGATATAAAACTTGACATTTAACCTGATCTGTTTTTTTTGTAAAAAAAAAAGAAACAACAACAACCTCCAACTGATTACTTCCAAATAGATGTACATTAATATTGAGAGTTTTGGTATTTTAAGAGAATTTTGTTGTTTTTTCTGTTTTGTAGAACTCAGAGCTGTTCACGCTGACTTATGGAGCCCTCGTCACCCAGCTGTGTAAAGACTACGAGAATGACGAGGAAGTCAATAAACAACTGGACAAGATGTAAAAAAAATAAACCCTTATATTCTGTCATTACCTCTGTTTATATTCAGATTATCCCATGTATGATCTTTGCTTCATTAAATGCATAGATCTTGTACTTACCATGAGGTCTGGTTGTGTCCTGAGGCAAGATGTGATGTAAAAAGAATGACGCAGAAGTGTCAGGTGAAGCAACAGAGTCTGCTTTGCGACGCTATAATGAGAATATTTGCGTTTATATCAATGCTATGTGTAGGTTGACAGAATAACAATATCAACAGGAGAGCGGGGAAGAACAAACTGGTGAACAGAAAGCAGTTTAATTACACGCACAGAGATCTTAGATGTCGCATGCATTCAATCTACAGACATGCACTGATCAATGAGGGAAAAAAAAGTCTTCACCCTGTCCCGCTCGCTCAAGGTGATCTCTCCTGATAGAATCCTGCTGCGTTCTTACATCGGCTCACTCTGACTACATGCAGAAAAAATACCAAGGGGCTGGCAGGAAAAACTCTGGATACAGTCCGAGTTAAAAAAATTCAGCTGTTTGCGTTCACACATGCAGCTCACCCCAAAACTTAAGGAGAATATATCAGCAAGTGTGAAAGCACTACTATAGTATGTCACTATTGTGTATGTGTGTAATTTTAACATCACTGTAGTCACTGAAAACACAGAGATAATAGTAATGTATTAAATGGATGTTTACATTTTACAGTTTTCTGTGCTTTAATAAGCGGTACACCATCTGCACAAATTGAAATGTCAAAGTTTGCCCTTTGCTTGTTTCACCAAGAGGAAAGTAAAGACATATCTGGCCTCTCTCCCTTTAACCCACACCTTCACACTTCTGCTAGGCTCTCCTCTCAACATCACTTGACACTACTATGCAGAGCGATGACATAATCAGGTTTGATTTCTAACACTTCTGTGTCAGAGGTTCCACCTAAGGTCTTGGTATTTCTAAAAATGTTTAAAGTCCTTTGAAGCAGAGAACACAGCTTTTTTTTTTTTTTTAAAAGCGAGAACATTTCTTTGGAAGGTACTGCTGGAAACGTTTGTTTTTTTTTCCACAAAATAAGATTAAGAAAAATAGATGGGTAAAAAAAAAAAAAAAAAGTCATAACATCCTTTTAACGCTGACAGGACTTTGGCCTGGATGTACTTTGCTTTTCTGGTTGTGGAGCAACCCTAAGCTCTCTCCAAGCTAATCATGATGAGGGTTGTCTCATCTGGCCTTAGAAGGTAGTGAGTCTGATGTGCCCACTCTGCGCGTCGCAAGCTAACTAGTCCGAGGCACGCCATTTTTGGGGCTGGGACGCATCAGTTGTCTTCAGATCCTCTAGTTGGGATAAGTTGCCATGGCTTTTCTATCATGATTGTAAGCGTCTGCCAAGTGAATGACCTTGAGATGTGTTGGAACATTTGCAACCTTCTATATCTCTGTGCTAACATTTTTCTTTTGTGCTTTTTCTCTCATAAGGGGCTATAACATCGGAGTGCGTCTGATTGAGGACTTCCTGGCACGCTCCAGCATCGGCAGGTGTCAGGATTTCCGAGAAACGGCGGATGTCATCGCTAAGGTAATTGGAAGGTTTCCGGGCCAACCAGAGCATGACCGTGGCCTTTTTCCCAAGACTGAGGCAGGAAGAAGGACGACAGGAAAAGAAAGCTTAGAACGAATGATTGTGATGAAACATCCTAACCCCTAGATGAGGTTCAGAAGGGAAGGATGTAGGGAGGGGGGGGGGGGCGACTGATGTTTTTGACTCGGTCCAAGTGTGCATCCTAATAAACCTGAGTACAAGATCACATTCGTCATTGCCTTTTAGAGGCTGACAGTTCTGATCTTCAAAAGGTGAGGATTCACACATGTGGAATGCAATCTTCTCCCTCAGAGACATGATGCACATTTAGTGACCTGTGTCACTGTTCAGGTACTTTTAGTTTGATTTTAATGCATGTGTGCACCTGATTGTGTTTAGTACCCCAGCTGTTTCTGCAGCTCGCTCATGGAGTCGTTCCACAGATGTAACCCCACACTAGCTCAGGGACCTGGCTCGTGGTCATAGAGAGAAGGGCCGTGTCTGTAAACCGAGGACCACTGAGGGACAGCGGTTTGGATGGCCCCTGCTTGAGGATATCACATGACCTTTAGCTAACTCAGAAACCACCACCTGTCCTTCATTAGTTAAATGAAGGAGGTCTGTTGTATGTTCTGAAAAACTTTTTTTCAAACTACCTTATCATTTCACTTATAAGCAGAAATAAGAAATCTGCCTAGTGCCAGTGAATATTTTCACTGTGGAGCGCCTACACTTTATCTAATTTGAGATGATTTTGAATGCGTGAGAAAGCATGCAAACCCTCCTGTGACAAATCACGGGAGTGCTGCAGAGGAAAAGAAGAAGGAGACAAGAGTTCTCAGATTTCAGGTGTGTGCAGGTATTCATTTAATGTTTGCCTGACGTGAAGCAATGTGAAGTTTGCATTAGAAGCTGTAGGAACATCTGAGTTATAGTCATGAGGATGGTTAGTGCCTCCGTTTTTCACATGTTCACTGGTTTGCTGATGAGCATTTAGTTACATGCATGTGCGCTGAGTAAATCATCATAAATAGTTATCAATATAAGCTGACATATTCTTACACCTGTTTTGTCTTAAGTCCTGCCCTCATTTGTTTTTCATCCACTCCTCACTGTGCTGTTAGGTTGCCTTTAAGATGTACCTGGGGGTCACTCCGAGTGTGACTAACTGGAGCCCAGCAGGGGACGAGTTCTCCCTCATCCTTGAGAACAACCCACTTGTGGACTTTGTGGAGCTGCCGGATAACCACAGCACGCTGGTTTACTCAAACCTGCTGTGTGGAGTCCTCAGAGGAGCCCTGGAGATGGTAGGGTCAAGAGAAATACTCATTTCAAAGAGACATTTTAAATATGTACAAGATCCATATTGTCAAAGTCTACCTTTACTCACATTACTTAAAGGTTAGTAAAGTGTATTTATGTAGCACCTTCCAAGAGCAGACGCTACACAGTGCTTCACAATAAAATAAGTCAAAGAACAATAAAAGTCTAAACAGATGGGTCTTTAACTGCTTTTTACAAATGTCAACCGAGTTCACAGCTCTCAGTTCCAGTGGTACCCAGTTCCAAAGTTTAGGAGCAACAACCCGAAAAGCACTCTCCTTAAGTTTAAGTTTACTGCAAAGAAACAGCAGCAGACCCTGATCAGGAGACCTCAGAGGCCTGCTGGTGTTATACGGCTTCAAAAAGTTCCTCCATATAAGAAAGTGCTTGACCATGCTACCAGCTTAGCGGCAGCATTTTGGATCGCTTGTAGGCGGTCCAATGATGTGATGCTAAGACATGTGAAAAGAGAATTACAAATTCATCAAGAAAAGAACAGTTTGTGTGAATAAAAAGTGAACAAATCTGATTCTGTTTCAGGTCCAGATGGCTGTGGATGTGAAATTTTCTCAGGACACTCTGAGAGGGGACAATGTGACGGAAATCCGCATGAAGTTTATCAAGAGGATCGAAGAAAATCTCCCTGCAGGAGATGAGTGATGGAAACAACCAAACAAACAAAAAAAACACTGAAAAGATGAGTCGGCAAAACTCAAAACATCCTGATGAGCGGTAAATTAGGCAGACAGCTGTTTACTTTTCCCTGCAACCTCACTTGTCTGAAATGATTGAAAAAACACTCCTCAATTTTCTAACATCGTTACTGCCCATGATTTGCTGAAGAAGACCAGGAGTTACATGATACTATGGAGATGTTCTGAGAATAAAAAAAACAACCTATACACCATTGAAACACAGATCATCACACGGACACCTTAGGTGGACATAAGGTTTCTTGGCAGATCTCTGTGTTTATGACTGAGGGAAAAACATCTAAATATAACAGCTGTTGCTGTTAAGGAGAGCAGATTTCTTTTTTAGTTGATGATAAAAGAAAAGCCTTTTTATTTGGCAATGTATAAAATGTCTTCTTTTTTTGTGTGTTTCAAGGCTGGAAAACCTGAAAATGTCATGATTTATGTTTTTTTTTTCTTTTAATGAAATAACCCTTCACTGCTGCCAATTATAAGGCATGTTAATTTATGTTGTCGGATATGTCAAATAAAGTTGAAATATTTGATATAATTATTTTTTCATGTTTGTGAGAGTGGAGAGCCTTGACCCGTACCTGTAGGGCAACTTGGAAGAGTTGTAACCAGTCACATGTTACACACACACACACACACACACACACTGTGTCCTCTGTAGCACCTTGTCAGCTCTGCTTCAGTGTACTGTGGGAGCGTTAGTCCTTTTGATTACCGCAGCCGCTCTGCAAAGGCAAACAATAACAGGCCTAATGCCTCTCTTATGTTTGTTCAGGGTTCATGGAAGTAATTTGCATGCTTCAGTGTGTGCGTGCGTGCTAGCTTGTGCGTTAAAAAAAAAAAAATTCAGTGCTTGGTTCTGGTTGTCACACCTGTGAATGGTTTTACCCAGAAGTAACGAACAGAACGTCTCATTGAGAGATCCTGTTGCACACCTCATCAATAACTGGAAACACAGGTGGCCTTTCACAAACACATGCACACACAAATCAAACCCTGCTCTTTCTTTTAGAAGCAAATCATCTGGCCTGGACACAACTAAAACATTTGCAATGTTTTTCTAATTCGTGATCTTTTTTTTTTTTTTTTTTTGTCTTGTTATTGTGTAACCTTACAATAACATTTGTACCAAACTCACGACTCTGCTGAAAGCACTTTAGAGGATGAGATTGTTAGATAGGGATTTCCTTTTGGAAAAATCTGTCAGCTATTAGCTGCTGGAAACCTCCAGGCTCTACACATCCTATTTTATAGCTGCTATTACATGAACCCATTTCTGCTTTACAGTTTTGAGAACTCAGCCACTTGATGTTAAGTTCCCCTAAAAGCCACCAGAGGTTGCTGTGTACATTGAGTTCCTCTGCTGTAGGCCGGATCATTCCCAATATAAGGCTTAAGTAAGGTAGTTTTTAGCATTTTTTGGCCAAAGATGGGTACTGTGGGAGAAAAACATTCCCTTATTTGTGGGAGTAAAGAACAGAGCTGCCAGAAAACATAAATAAAAGGTTTGTTTTACGATCAGGAATATGGGAAGAGCAAAGAATTTGCAGGAGTTGAGTTGAGTGGTCCTTTGCCGGTTTGTCTTTCGCTTTCATTTGGCTGGAGATTAGACAAACAATGACAACATGTACTCTTTGTAGTGTATAATTCTGGTAAAGATGTATGACGGTGGGATTCTTTTGTATTATTCACTGTCTTAAGCTCCCTGCCAACTCTCATCTAGGGGAGTGCTCATTCAGAAGGATGAAGAGTGGAAAGTGGAAGCAACCCGACAGCCGTCGGGCGTGCAATAAGCCCGGCGAGCCATTCGTTTAGCTCTCAACACATTACGTGCACACATCTATGCACCCTGTAGGCCTGTGATGTGGATGTTGGATGGAAGTGGGCAGGAAATAGTTTTTGTGCAGAAGCTCAATGTAAATGAATTGGCAGAATTAGAGCCATGTACCTTGGGGATGGATAAACAGCTGGGTTTGTATATTTGTGAAAACCCGTATTACTCTGCCATATGCTTACAGGAATTTGACTTGACAAACACACATATATATGCACACATACTGTACACTCAAGCCGAGGTGAGGATGAATTTATTATCATCACTGTACTCACAAATAGGTGTTAAAACACACTGGAAGGACCCTGTTCAAACATGTCTCCCACCACGTCTACCAGTAGGTCTAAGGACGTTTTTTGTTGTTTTAAACTTTGTATAAAGACAACAAAATTACCAACGCTACACCAGGGCTTCACTCCTCATAACCTGTGCATCTGTGATTTCTAATCTCCATGCAAGAGAAGAGCAGATGTTGCAGAATGAAAACACAAGGGGGGGAAGACTTCAGGTTCTCTTACAAAACCCATGATAAGTGCTTCAGAGATATCATATTTTATGTAACGTATGTATCGTTGATATTTATTCTAGTTTCCCATATTCTTCCAGAAAAACTTTATTAGGACAGACCTGGAAAACAAGTAGCAAATGTTACGGGCCCTAGACAACGTGCGCCGATCTGCTTTGAGCCAACTAAACGTTTCCATGTGGCCTTTATGGGAAACAAATGGTGAAAGGCACGCTGTGACAGTAAAGCCCAGCGCACAGACTGTTATTGACCTTTGCTTGTTGAGTATTGCATCCCTTTCTTCTACCTTTACTCTGAGTTTCCCCACTTAATTTTCTCGGCCACTTTAATTGAATTACTCTCCCTCTTTTATTACATTTTCTTGGTTTTATTTATGTGTTGCCAGCGTTCAGAAGTAGAGCCAATAATCTCAAAGCAAAAGAAAGGATGTGTGATATAGTCAACATTTTGGGAATGTCCTGCATCAGATTGAAATCGTGCTACCTCTGAGGTATGGTAAGGGTTGACTGAAGTTACCCATGATTTCCAGAGGCTTCCAGAGTTTGTGTTTCTTTGCGTCAGTTAGTGGAAAGAGCTGATACAACAGCAGGTAGACAGCCCTCTTTTCGGAGAGAAATGCGGTGAGTCAGCAAACAAGTGTGCTCATGGTTAAAATCCCAGACAGCCCGAATATTTTTTTTAGGCAGCGATGTGGTGGGAGTATGTGGTTGATTTAACAAGCTTGTCTCTTGTGTGCACCTGAAAAAGATGCTCCCATGAACACAAGAGTCGTTACATAACTCACACTCTGTACACTTGTCTACTAAAGCACACCCTGGTGAAAGTGTGAATTTAGTGGTTCAGAGGGATGTTCGTTTGGGATTTTAATGTTCATAAACACCCTAGTAAATAAACCTGGATGTGGTTTTGAGAGGTAATCACGAGTTGATTTGTTATGCAGTCACAGTATGTACCCAGTGAAATCTGCAAACAGCATCTGCAAGCCATTTGGAATATGAATCATCACCCACTTCCAGACAAACTGTTTAGCACTTCCTATAAATCTAATAACTCATGCTTTGCTCAACTATTTAGCAAGAACAGTGCATCCAACAGAAAGTTAAGAGCTTTGTAGACCTCACGCAGTTATGTTTTGGTCATCGGGAGTGTTGGCAGGAAGGGTTTAAATGAGAAACAAACCAAGCGAAAATCACCTCTCCAAGTTTGAAAATAAAAGCATGGCTCAGATCCAGCTTACTATGTATGCTAAACACAAGCATCACAGGGGAATCATGTTTACTCATGTTAAAAAAGAAAGCAGGAAGACATGTCGGGTTCAAAGTTGGGTCTCTTTTCTGTATCACAGAAGGGTTTCAGCCGGAGTCCTGGACTCTCCCGAAGCCATTTAATGCCTTGTTTTTAGATTTTCCTTCTTCTTTTTCTTCAAGGCTTTTTGGATGGGAGCTGCTAAGCTGACTTCGCTCTGCTTCCAATTTCCTCCTGCTCTTTTGTTCTTCCTCTTTTCTCCAGATTCTGAAGCAGAGGAGTTTTGAGACATTTCTGATGATACACGTTTTACCCGTTCCAGATCCTTTTTATCTTTGGTGCCTCATTTTCCCATAGTACACTCAACTTTTTGTCTTGTTTTTCTCCCTCCTGTCTTCATCCCTTTTTTCTTGACCCTGCAGCCGTTCAAGCTGGAGTTTATGTAACAGCGTCAGAGCTTTCCAGCTTGGAACAGCCTCACTTCAACGAGGAGCAGGGAGAATAGGTGGGAGAAAAAAAGAGAAAGAAGTGTCATGTAATAATATGCTGGTTTTATCCTGAGGCTTAGCAGCACCTGTCCTTTGACTTAATTATTCCAGGGCCTTTTCTTCAAATTCCTATTCATAAGAAGAAATATATAAATATCAGTCTAGAAACAAATACACAAGTTCTAAATGAAAAACATGAAAGTGGAAGTCCTGGTTCGCCTAGACAAAAATCAAACCAGGCTTCCCTTCTAGAGCACAGGGTTGCCTGGAGGCTGCACACCAGCTGCAATGGACAGGAAGTCACCAATCGCCAATGCCAAGCATGAACCTACCATGTGAGTGTGCCACATCAAAATCTTTGAGCGACAAAAGAAACCATACAAAAAGCAATTTACCTCGAATGGCACTTTTTTTCCTTCTAACTTTTAAAACATGATATCCGAGCGGTTGAAAAAGCATAAATCGACATACAAGGTGTAAGCTTTATATCTTCAGCAAGTCATTTATTATCCGCCCCCTTCATCCACCTTTCACACACAGTGTGTGTGATTGTAAGGGGTCTGGATGTCCTATTCTGCAGGTTGGATATTCAGTCTGTGAGTATGACTTTCATATGAAACTCCTCATGCTGTCATATGGAGTCATGCTGTGTAATATAGGCTGGCTAGAATCTGACAGTTCAACTGAAGTCTATGAGGAAATCCCAAGGTGCAATATGAGTGATGAGTTTAAACGGTTTCCATTCAACTATTAAGGAAATAATAAGAAATTGTATATGTCCTTTATTTGGTTTTACAAAAAAAAATAACTGCACAGTAAAAAGCTCCCAGTTTATCTTAAAGCTGAAAGTCTTCCAAAACTTTAAAGGTCCCATATTATGCTTTTTCTGGTTTTATATGCCCTTTAGTGTGTTTTCCAAGTGTCCTGTGCATGTTTAGGCACATCTATGTGCAAAAATTCAAAGTCTGTGGAAATGCGGCTTCTCCTACGTCCTCCTGTTAGCTGTAGCATTAGCTGTTGTAAACTCGTTTTAGCCCCCTCGAAAATGTTTTGCCAGTGTGACATCTTGTCAGTGTGATATCACTGATCTAAG